CTTTAAATTTGAACAGGGTAAGAATTATCACACGCACACACATCTCTCTCTCCCCACACCTCTCTATATATTCAACTATACTTTTTAGCCACAGTGCAAACACCCATGTTAAGCTTTTATTAAAGTAACACCTAAACAAATGCAGTTCATCTTCTCGCTTAACAAAACTATATTCACTTTACCAATGGAATTATTCAAGTCCTGTGAAAATGTCAGTAGGTCAGAAAAATACAAACTTTTGGGGCTAAGACATTTTACTAACCTTTTCCTTTCGGAGATGTTCCAATTTCTCTGACGTTAGTTTATTTTCTCCTTTAACTTTTTTATCTTCGATCTTTGCTTCCACAGATGACATCCACTGTATAGTAGTATCTTCTTCATGAGAAATAATTTCTAAAATACATTTTTACAAATTAAAGATTTTCAGCCAAAAAAAAAAGAAAGAAAGAAAAAGATTTTCAGCATGACAGTCTTGGGAATACCAAACAGGCTACATTTTCACACTAAACAAGAACAAGTACTATGGATATGGTGGTACTGCGTGATAGTCTAAATCTTCCTGATGATTAATCACACCCAGTATCTTATTGTCATGCATACATGTCCAGGCTTGAAGTCTTCTAGTAGCCCATCTCTAGTGAGTGGATACAAGTGTTTGACATACACATTTCAAGTATGTTTCCCTGACTGCGGCGGTCTTCATTGTCTTACTGTTCCATTCCTACTTCCCTAATTTCATTTCTGGAGAGAGAATCCAGAGCCTTCACGAGTTTTATCTCCAAGTCATTTTTATGTTTTCATTTTGAGACAGGGTCTTGCTAAGCTAATAAAATATCCAGGTTGGGCTTCAAATTGCAATCTACTTGTGAGCCTTCCAGAGTGCTACAGTTATAGGTGGGTGGCACAATTTTTGGCTTTTAATAGTTCTTTGTGTGTGTGTGTGTGTGTGTGTGTGCGTGCGTGTGTGTGTGTGCCAGGGAACAAACCCAGGCCTCACATCTCCTAGGCAGGCACTCTATCACTAAGCTACATACTTTCTTACTGCTATGTTTTGTGGAGCAATGAATTTTAATTCTGATGAAGTCCAAGATAGCAATTTTTTCTCTTTTAGTTCTTTTGTCTGTGGTCTAAAAAAACCCTACATACAAGGTCACAACAGATTTTTTTCTGTATTCTTCTTTAAGTTTTATAGTTTTAGATTTGGGGTATTTCAGTCTGAGTCATTTCCAGTTAACTTTGGGGGTGGTCTGAAATAAGACTTAGTATTCATTTTTCTCCCCCATAGAGATTCTGAACAATTTACTGTAAAAACTTTCCTTTCCCTATTGCTTTATAAAAAAAGGCAGATGGCTAGGAAATTTAATACATATAACAAAGAAAAAAAAAAACACTACTTGTTTAGTAAAACATATGAGATGCTCAAACACTTGCTCAAGGAAATACAAATAAAAATTTCATTTATTAAACTGCAAAAAAATGGAAGACTGACAATAATAATATTCAGGACTGACAAAGGTATGGGAAATCATTTTGCTGTATTTGTTGAAAAAAGTGTGCAAACCCTTTCATCAAGTGTTCTCTTCTTTTAGGATAGTCTACAACATTAACAGCACAAGTACCTTCACCACAGTAGTAGTTACAATGACGTGTACCTAGAAATAAGTTGAATGACATCAATTGACAAATGGCTGTGTACTGTCTGACTTACAGGTTCAGACTATTTTGTAACTGAAAAAAAGGGAAATAGAAAAATAGCCACAGATATAGCTCCGCAGCTTAAGCTTGCACCTGCCTGGCAAGTGCAAACTCCTGAGGTCAATCCCCGGTACTGCAAAAATAAATAGAAAAAGAAAAACGCAGAAATTCAACACTAACCTGAAATCATCTTCTTCCTCTTTTTCTTGTTTGGCTCCCTCTTGCTTTCAGTTGGGCTCTCTTCTTTCTTCTCTTCATTTTGCAGTCCCTGGTGTGTTTGTGGTACACCACACTCACCTGGGACAGACTTCTTGTTTCCAAAGAAGTTCAGACTCTTCAGCACCTCTGAAGAATCAGAGCCATATTTCCTTTTTCCTATCTAAAATCCAAAAAATTACAAATGAAATTTATTGACAAAATAACACTGCTTCCCCTTCCCAGCAAGCAAGGAAATGGGACTACTGATTCCTCATATTTTCACCTTTCCACCAAATATCTGTCACACTGATAAGTACATTTGGATGAATGGAATCCAAAACAACACCTTTCCTGATCTCACAACAGTAACAACAACCATGCTAGCAATGAACGTTTACATCTGCTATATGTCAAGCAGATTTCTAAGCATGTTCATCTATATATCAAATTACTTTATCCTCTTTGCAACCCCACAAGGTAAATGGCAGCATTACTGATGAGAAAATCGAGATATTAGGAAGTGACTTGACCAAGGTCTCAAAATTATCAGCTGGGCAGACTGAGCGTTAGGACTCCAACAATGTGGCTCCAGAGTTCAACCTCTTTCAACAATTACATTGTAATGCAGTCAGAGGAAACACATATATTGCACAAAAAACAAAAGTAAAACCCCCAAGTCCCCAAACAACCACCACTTTTGTTCTTTTGACCTTTAGGATTTCCCACAAAATAAACCTCAACTGACTTCTCTGGATTTTCACTATTTTCCTATGTATAAGACCGCTCATGTGTAAACTGCCCTTTTCATTGGATTTGTTAACAAGCCAGACTGGAGCAACGCGAAGAAGCACATGTTGCGCAGCTAGCTGCATAGCAGGTCAAACATGGATAGACTATAAAGGAAAAAAAAAAATCTGTTTTCTCCACTTTTGTTTTCCAAATTCCTTTCCAGAAATTTCCGTTTGAAAGAAAATTTCTAACTTTCCTTTGGCTAAACGAAGAAGCAGGAAGATTTTCCGTGTTGGGCTCAACTCAGTCTATCAAGGGCTCTGAAAACAGTTACCCAGAAGTTCCGGGCCTGAGTAAGTCTGCGTAGCAAGTTGAACCCAAACGTGGGGAAAAGCCCAATAGTCAAGCTCAAAGGCAGGCCGCAGGGTAGGTAGCAGGCTACGCCGGCTGCTCTGTCAGCTGCCGGCTTACTTTCGAGATCTTGCTCCTTCTCGGTTACTCTGACCTGGGTCCCCTGCTCATAGTACCTGGAATCGGGCTGCGTCGGCTGAGAACCGTTTCACGTCAAATTTGGCCCCAGCGCCCAGCCGGCGAAACAAGTCATGGACATCCATGTTTACCCAGAAATCCTCGCGGCCCCAGAGCGCCTGCGCAGACGATTTCCTCCCGCAGCGGCCTCGCGGGAGCCTGAACGGAAGTGGTTCTGGGAGGCGGAGCCTAACTGTCACCTGAGAAGAGGCGGGTTTATTCGCTTGTAGTCTGTTGGTACTAAATTCCTTCAAAACACATCTTTAAAGATGGGCGTGGTGGTGCACGCCTTTGAGCCCAGTACCCTGGAGGCTGAGGCAGGAGGATCTTTGTGAGTCCCAGACCAGCCTGGGCTACAAAGTGAGCTCACGGCCACCTTGAACTGCATAGTGAGACCATGTCTCAAGACAAAAACAAAACAAAACAAAAAAGATATCGGTAATCTTCTTATGCCAGGAGTTATTCTAGACTTTTAGGCGTAGTTTAGTGAACAACACCCCAAGTTTCCTCTTCTAAGGGAGCTTACATTGTAACAGGGACAGAAGGTACTGTGAAGCAAATAGAAAGGTATGCTGGGTAGAGAAGAAAATGGGATACTTTTAGTCACATTGGTCAAGTACACTGTCCATTGGTGATACTGGAGCTTTCCGAGATTGGTGAAAAGCACTGCAGATAGAGGAGACATAGGTCTGAGGAATGGAAAACAGTTGGAACCTACGGAATAGAAGGAAGGCTCAGTGACTGGAGACAAGGTGCAGGGAGGAAGAGTGTAAGGAGGGACCAACAGGCAGTCGGAACATCTTGTAACAAGGTCAAGACTTAAAACTGCAGTCCAAACACGCTAGGGAATTATTCAAACAATTTTATGGAGGGAGCAACATGGTTTGGTTTGTCACATTTTTATTTTCTTCATTGGATTTGTAGTATAAAAAGTTGCTTGCCTCTAAATTGTCTCTTTGAGCATGGTGATCTTTGCTTTGCTGCCTTAATCCCAGGGTCTGTGTAGCGGTGGCCTACTGACATGCTCTGTTTGTCTGAGCTGTAACTGAGCGAAGAGGCATTGTCATATAAAATATGTAATATAGAGCAGGGGACACAGGTCGGTGGTCTGTGTGCCTGCCTGCCAAGCCCGAGGTCCCGAGTTTGGTCTCTGGTACTGCATGCCATACATGCCTTGGAACCCAGTGCCTAGTGGCGCAAGCCTGTAATTTCAGCGCTGGGGAGGCTGAGACAGGACAGTCACTAAGAGTCTGAGCTGCGTAGTGAGACCCTGTATAAAATAAATAAATACATAAATATAAAATATATAATATAGTTGATATAGATAACACATTTTTATTTGAAGTATTTTTCATTATGACACAGGCCTGTCCAACCTCCAGGTCACAGGTTGGACACACCTGCAATGCACTCTCTCAAAAAAAAAAAAGTTGGATAAACAAATGAATGTTTCAGAAAAAGTTACTCTGGCTATGTGGAGAACAGACACAGAAAATCTGGGTAGAAATGGGGAGATTATCAAAGTAGAAATAATGATGATGCTTGGGTCTAGATTGGTATCTGTATAAATGAATAGATTTGGGGTATAGTTTGGGTACAAAGCTTAATATGCCTGATAGATCCCATGCACAGGTAAAGGAAAAGGAGGCATCACAGATAACATGTTATTGGCTGAGTTGAATGGAGAGTAGAATTGACACATTCTGCACACATTAAGCTACTTAGTGGACTTTAAGTGGAGATGTCCAAGTAGATAGTTGGTTCTGAGTCTATAGCTCATAAAATAGGTCAGGGCTGGAGAAATAAATTTGGAAGTCATGTAAACACATAAATGGCACAGCAGAATAACATTGTATATGCATTTGACCTCTTAATATTCAGTTATGTATACTTAGAAAAGAGAGCGAGCACAAGACATAGTTCCTTTACATCCAAGTGTGGAGTGCGTGTGAGATGGGGATGTGAACTGACTATTTCCTCGGATGGATCCAGTCCCTCATTATCTTTTTTTTTTCTCCTCTCTGTCTTTTTCTCTCTTTCAACAAACTAAGATAAACTAGTATAGATTAAATAAATTAGCATATATGTTGAAATATTTTTGAAATAGCAGAATATGTATTTGGGGAAGTATTTGGAAGGATTTCTTCCTACTTCCTATTTGTCTCTCACTTAAGTGCTCTCTCTCTCTCTCTCTCTCTCTCTCTCTCTCTCTCTCTCTCTCCCCCTCCCTCCCTCTCTCCTTTTGTCCCTCTCTGCCTCTCTCCTCTCTCCTCTCCTCCCTCCTCCTCTCCTCCCCTGCTCCTCCTCTCCCTCCCCTATATATAATTTCTCATATAAGAGATACCATGTGATATATGCACTTGTGTGTCTGACTTACTTTACTTAACATTATGTTAAGTTGAGGATAAGTAATTTAAAAAGAGATGATTAGCATGATTCAGCTGTTTGATAAGGATGGGAAGAGAACTTAGCTAGGGTTAATAGCCAGGGTTAAAGTCTAGTGAGGTAAATATGGAGGATTATGGCAGAGCTTTGCTTCCCCTTCCCCTCCAATAAAAGCAGCCTGGAATTGATGGTTCCACAGAGGTAGAGTGTCCTAGGACCTGAGAAGGGGAAGGAAACCCTACAGTGTGCTCCTTCTATATGAAAGAGTACTCTGCATTATATTAATGACCCAACTTGCTTTCCTGTTTTCAGAGGAAAGGGTTATATTGCATATTGAAAATGTTCTATGTACTTTACCTTAATAAGCATGATCTTGTGATTAGATATGCATTTAAATCTCTCATATCTTCTCTGTTAGCTATGACCTGGTTAAATTTAGCATTTTTTTGGACTAATATCCTCATTTGTAAAATGAGGATTATATTGCCTGCTTTGGAACTGATGTGAGGATGAAGCGAGGCTCATAGACCATGATGTATGATAGACAGAACATAGGTTTAGGGTATTAAAAAGACTTCCATTGAATTCAATTGTGTCATTAAATAATTTGATGGTTTGAGTTGGGTTATTTCACTTACTTGTGCTTTATTTTTCTTGTTAGTAAAGTTAGGATCATAAAATTGCATCTGTTTGGAAAGTTTGTAAAAATATTATTGTTCAGCATACAAGACTCAAAATGGTTGAGATGGATAAGGAATCTATCTGTCAATGAATTGATCTGTTAATAGATAGATAGCAAAGCCTTTGTTTACAAGCATAATTTGTCCCAAAAACATGCTTGTAATCCAGATCACTTGTATATCAAAGCAAATTTCCCCATAAGAAATAATAGAAACTCAGATGATTTTTTTCCACAATCCAAAAACATTCATATAAAATGTTTACAATACTGTATTATAATATAAAATAAGAAAGCACAAAATATAAAGAAAAATTAAAAAGCAAATTAACCTGAACTTACTTTCAAAAACCTTCATGGGTAGTCTGAGGGAGACAAGAGAGAGGAGGGTTATTTATTTATTGTATTTTGTACCAGGTTTAAGGGTCTCACTGCACAGATTGGACTTGTAGTGATCCTCCTGTTTTCAGCCTCCCAAGAACTGGGATTACAGGCACACACCACCATGCCTAATCTCAATTGTGCGTCCTGGGGTCAGGGCCAGCACTGCACACCTGGGATGAACCCAGTCCCTGTGTCTGCCTAAGCAGGCCCTTTAATCTGCTGAGCTATATGGCCGGCCCTGAAAGAGAAGGATTATTGTATAGGAAGACTTTCATATACTACTTATTGCAAAACATGTTTATTAAGTTAAAATTGATTAGAAATGTTTGCTTGTCTTGCAGAACATTCGTGGAACAGGTTACTCTCAAGTGAAGGTTTTGATATATATGTGTATATATATTTATGTAGTTTAAAATATCATATAAAAGTTATATATATAACCTTTTTTGTTTGCATTTTTTTTTGTTTGATTGCATGTTTTGGGTACATATGTAACATCTTTTGTTTTGGTTTTTGTTTTTTTTTGAGACAGAGTCTTGCTATGTAGTTCAAGCTGGTCTTGAAGTCACTATATAGCCCAGGCTGATCTCATAGTGATCCTCTTGACTCAGCCTTTCAAGTACTGGGATTATAATAGGAGTGCACCTCCACACTCAGCACTTTTTTTTGTTTGTTTGTTTGTTTGGTACCAGGAACCGAACTCAGGACCTTGTGCTTGCTAGGCAGGTGCTGTGCTGCTGAGCTATATCCCTGGCTTGTTTTTTTTGGAGAGAGTCTTGCTATGTAGCTCAGCTTGACCTCAAACTTACAATCCTTCTTTCTTAGTGCGGTGATAGCTGGCATGCACCACCACGCCCAACTGTAAATCTTTATGTATGGGATATAGATTCAGTTACTGTACAAAGCATTGAGAACAAAATCTCAAATATATTAGTGGCTTGAAAGAGTCCTTTCTTTCACTCCATTCTCTTGGAATGATAGTCCTTGACCCAAAGGACATTTTAGAATCCCCTAATAAATTTTATTTTATTTCCCATAATTTTATTGATTAAACAAATAGCAATGAGACAGTTTCGAATCAAATTGGTAGGACAGTTTCAATAATTAACACATTGCATACATTCTTCCTAGTGGTTAATTGCTGTAGAAGAAGCAGACATGATATCCTATTTACAAACACCACTAGAACAAATCACTCTATTCATTAAGAGAATGTAACTATATATCTAACCTAACCACTTCGAATACACAGATACAAAATGGACATTCATCTGTATACCCTTTTTTGTTAAGTTCCGTTATTTGAATATTATAGGTGTGTAAACTCAGCAAAATATTCTAAAAGAGTCCAGTAGCCCATAATAGTATTGGGTCTTCCACTTGACTGGCAATGTCAGAAATTGTTGACTTGAGTCCCCTACAGCTCAACATAACAACATGGCTTTACTTCTTATATTTCATTTTTATACTTTCCTGCTGGATGGTTAAGACCAAGGTAAAGCAGGACCTATGCAACAAGAGTTATAGTTTTTGGGTAGAATCCCCTAATAAATTTTAAAGAAAAGAAAAAAAAATCTGGGTACTACCTTTAGAAATTCTGGCTTCATTATTCCAAAATGGCTCTCTGACCGAATTTAGAAAGTTTCTCAAGTGATTTTTAATTCAGTTAAGGTTAA